AAATTTAAAAATAAGTTATACACTAGAGTGCTTAATTTATAACTTGCTTTTCAAGAAATCCGCTGTGATGAGGTTTGACTGTAATAATAATAATAACCAGAGTGTTATTATACATTTCATTACGAATTTTAAATACTGTTTCCTCTCTTTCATGTGATAATGATGATAATAATTTATTATGTGACATTATGTAAAAATATAAAATATAAAATTCGACTTGGTGTTTAATAAATGAGAATAACTTTTTCTTTGCGGAGCGGAGAATTGAATGACGTGTAACAAACAATTTTTTCGTATAACATGATTAAATTGATGATAATAATAATAATAAGGATATATTTAATTATTAGAATCTAATGCAATCAAATGTAAATAAAAAATATTGTTAGTAATAATTAATGGAGTAATCTCCGATTAACTAATTAATTAATGAAATTTTTATTCACCATCAACATTTTAGAGAAAAGAGTTAAAATCAAGATTATTTAATGAACTATCATTACTTGTATAAATTTTCAAGCTTTTTGATTTAGCGATCTCCTCATCTAAGATTCTACTTGTATGATATGCATCTGGATGTGATTTGTGTGCTTGTTGCAAATCACTATTACCACCACCGCTGCTGCTACCATGTTTTTTGATTTTAGGAAATTTGAATAATCTTTTTATTAAACTATTATTCTTACTATTATTATTTTTAAAAAATTCATTACGTTTATTTCCAGCAAAATTATAAAGTTTTCTACTAGTTGGTCTTTTTGATGGATCCACATCCCAACACCTCTGCATCATTTGCACACAATCATTAGGGGTGGTCATAAACCTTCACATATGTCAAAAATCAAACGATGATTGTGAGCTCTGTCATCAAATGGTGGATGACCTGCAAATATTTCCCACATTAACATCCCAACACTATAGATATCAGATTCTTTGGTGTTCTTTGTATTAATTTTGCCTCTAAGTAGTTCGGGTGCAACATATGATACAATTCCATAGACTTTATTTGATGACTTTTCATCAACTGGTCCACATAATCCCAAATCTGTAATATAACAACCACCTCCTTGCAATAATATATTACCACTATGTAAATCACAATGGATTAAATCTTTTTCATAAAATATTGTCATTCTGTCTTTTAATGTTAAATTATGATGATTTTTTTGTAAATAATCCCTTAAATTTCCCTCTAAATAATTTAAAACTATTGCATAATTTCCAATATCTGGGAATTTGGTTATACCATGGCATTGAACAATCAATGGTGCTTTAATTTTAGAATAATTCATTGCCTGTAATTAAATAAAATCAATTAGCATTATATAATACATTATTGTTTTAAATGACAACTACCAACCTCATCAAAAAAGGCCTTTCCTGGATTGCTTGAATTGTTTAAACTTTTTAATACTACTAGTTGCCCTCCAAAATAACTAAATTCCTTTTTATTTTCATCATAATCATTAATAACTCCTCTTGTCCATGTAGCAGTATAAACTGAACTAAATACACCTTCAGTCAACTTTGTTACTTTTATGAATTGCTCAAAAGGTATCCACTCTAAAATATGGTTTGGCAGAGATGATTTCATTTGACATTGTTGAATAAAGTTGTCAACTATGTTATTTTCAGATGTCCAAGTGGTGAAAAGACTCTGTAATTGTAAACTAATACAACCTTCACAGAACCTATCAGAGTATATTGTCAATTTACACTTATTACACTCTTTTGGTTTTCCCCCTTTCTCTCTTTCATTACCTAATTCAAAATAATAAATAAAATTTTCCTTACAATATTCTTTTTCATTTTCAGAAAGCTCATTGTTTTTCTTGACCAACAAAAAAAAATAATCTTTTCTACTTTCTTCATCAGAGTTAGCCAGAGCATTATTATACATTTCATTATCAATTTTATATACAAATTCTTTTCTTTCTTGTGATAACGATGATAATAATTTATTATGTGACATTGTGTAAAAATATAAAATATAAAATTCAACTTGGTGTTTTAATGAATGTGGGGGTTTTTTGAAAATAACGGTTACACTATTTTTCCCTTAACACATATATAAACCAGTAAAAAGAGAACCAATAGATTATATATAAGCAAAGAAAAATGGAACCTTAAATTAGCATAAAAGAATTTTAAATATAATTAATTGCATATCTTTAATAAAACAAACATGACTTAGCTATTTAATCATTTCCTTCATTTCCTTGTATGTGAATGCCTCCATCCATCAAATATTCATGATGGTCATGATTATTATGTGATACATTTGATATCATCATTGACATAACAAACAATTGCATCACCCAAGTAGTAATGATACCAAGGCCATACATAAATGAAACTTTTAATAATATGTGTCTACCCAGATCTCTGGGATTCACAAAAAAAATTGCTTATGAATAATAAATCTGATGATTGCAGGTGTCAGATTTAACTAAATTTCCTATCACCACCATGTATAATTGCTAATCTTTTCGATAAAAAAAATTAAGCTTATACATTAGAAGGCTTTGGACAAAACACATTTCCCTATCTTTCTCTCAGACCAGGCTGGCTGTTACCATATGGGCATGATTGCTGATGATAGTTGACATTTGTGTGATGGTTGCATTGTATTATACCTCTCTAGAATAAAGTTGGTATCTGCAATTCAGGATGTTGCAACCTGGGTTGTTGTTTTGGATTTTCCCTGAAGCCCCTATTTAATTAAATAACATCAAGTTTAGTTGGTCAAACAAAATTAGAGAAACAGAAAATTTATGAAAATGTTTAATTTATAACATAACATACCAAACAAAATCCAAATCATTTTATGACTTTTTTCTTGTTGGTCATATTGCTGACAAAGGTGTATATAATTGTGCAATAATTTTAATCTATGGGACAGAGGACTGATTGGGCAAAAACCCATCCAGTCCCCTACCCAAAATTATAAATTGGTTAGTATCAGAGAAACAGAGCATTCAGAAAAATGATTATACAAAACAAACACTATTTACAACTTTCCTCTTAACATCAGAGTCCAGCAGCCTTCTCTGGTCTGGTGTTGTGAGGAAAAATTAGTGAAAGTGTCATTGACAATTGATACAGTCTTGGTAAACTCCAGGGCCAAGCACTCCCCCCCTGGAATTATGTTGCATCATTGTATGATCATGAGAATCTCGGTCAAATTAGCCTTATGAACATGACAAGGAAGATGAGAATGACTGTGTAAAGTCTTTAAGGTAGCGTGCTTTAACGACTGTCAACAGTGTATTATTGCCTTGACGTCTTCTTGTAAATACATATTAATAATATTATTATGCGAAGTAAATTCCCAATCATTCATTCCCAGCAAGATCCTTCTCCGCGTTCTGATTCCAATTAAAATATTTATAAAAATATCAATACAAATAAAAAAAAGTACCTCTGGTTAGTTATTAACACGTTTTCTTTAGGAGACCCAAACCAAACCAAGCAACAACACTCACATTTTGTCATCTTGGATTCTGTCAAAAAAATAAAAACAATTTGCGTCTGTCCTCCCAAAAAAAAAACCAATAGGATAATTAATTAATGGCATACACGTCGATCAAATCACAAACTTTTTTTTTTTGTAAAAATGTCTAAGAAATCAATCAAACGCAATTGCTGAGGAAAATGAGTAAGTGTTTATCATGAGTGGTGGTGGTGGTGGTCGCCACTCATCATTACCCTAGTTATAATAATAATAATAATAATAATAAATAACATTAGTGCTGATCCATTTTTTTTAACATAGTAATAGTACGATGCCAAAAAGTAGATTAAATTCACCAATATAGTAAATATATCATTTTTTTTAGTAAATAAATTTTTTTTTACAGATATCCTTAACAATCAATACTTTGTATTTAATATTAGTGTGAAATAACGATGACTGACAATAGCACAAATTTATTGGAATAGAAAGCATTGAAAGGACAAAAAGATAAAGAAGTGTACACAGACTATATTCTATTTGAAGGATCCCTGAATATGAGATATCACATACTGTATATTGGAATTGCGTACAAAATGAATTTTACGCTTTTTTACTAATGGATATGGGATAAGGGTCATGCCCTTAAACATATCAGATATTAATATAATCGAACGAGATTATTCTAGGTCATAATCTACCCACAGATATAAAATTGGCATTAAAACTTGGAGCCCTTAGATTTATCGTTTAAAGGTTTATTTGTTAATAAAATTCAAAAAATAAAATTGCGTAGTTTTCCAATTTTGTTGTTTATAGGAAATCTACAATGAAGTCATCATTATTATGATGATGTAAGGACAGAGAATCAAAGTTCAATTTCGACTCCCAGTTTCACATTTTGGTTTTAATATACAAGGGCTAGTCCTGGACATTAATAGGCTATTAATCAATAATAAAAAATGAAATATGCGTATAATACAAGATTATTTGTCGTTTTAATTGAATGAACAAGATAATTATATAAAAATTTATATATTTAAATAGAAGAGACCTAATACTAATACTAACATTGAGATTATGTTTCATCGAATTTCAGATTTTTATTAATATAAAGTAACCGGATATTATTATTATTTAGATTATTATGATTATTCATTGGACCTTTATAATTATGAAATGACTTTGATAACTGAAAAATCATTAAAAACAGGAAATGTTCTCAGGATTAATAAAAACTTGGACCACGAACCATCAACTATATAATTCTTTTCGATAAACTGAAGAATATCATGAAACCAGTAAGGATTGAAGGAAAAGAAGATGGGTAGTTAAACAAAGCAAGGAAGGAAGGATTGAAATTCATAAATTAATGTTTGGGTCAAGAGGGGATCGGCCGAAAAGTTCGTCTTTTACTGAGAAGCAGACAAGAGAAAAGCAAAGATGATCGAAAGAAATAAACAAGAAACAGTAGTCATTCCTTTTTTAAAGCCTGTTTTCTTTAAAAAATTTTATTGATTGATTATAAAATTTACAAAAACGTTAGTTATGTTTTATGTTCTTGATTAACTAGGTTACCACGTCTAAAATAAATTAAAGATTTGAAAATAAATAAATTAAAGATTATTATTATTGGATTCAAATTCTGTTTTAAGATTTGGTAAAAATTTATCAATTTTTGTCCATGTAATTTCCCATATTTCAATTGATGTTTTGTCATTAAGTTTATTATTATTCTCATTATTCGATGATGAACCTGGTGGAATTAAAACACCCGAAGTTGACATTACTAATAACATATTCTTTAATGATTCAGGAACTGCTTCTCTCTAAAAAAATCAAAAAAATCAAAAAAATTACAACTCTAATCAAGTATAATTACTAATAATAAACGATAATGCTTACCAATGAATCTGTAAACATATATTTTTCCATTACGTCTAAAATTTGTGACCACAATGTAATTAATCCACCCCATTCCATCAACCTATTCAGATAATGTAAGAATATTTTACATAATAATGCCGAAGCTCTTATCCTAGATTCATCAATACCAACTGGGTCAGCTTGATATATTTCTGGTTTTAATAGTTGATCTAACAATGGAAACAACACAAGATCAAACACTAATACCCATTCCGTGCCACCATGTGATACAAGCTGTGGGTTTAAAAGTGACCGTTGCAAATATGCTATTGCATTTTGTCTAACTTCAAAACATGGACTATAACATTGTTGACTGAATCCTGTTAAAATTGGTAACCAATAATTCGACCATGCTTCTCTTGGTGATTTACCAGTTTCACTGAGCAGGTTTGGTATTTCAACATATAATATATCCATCAATACAACAGCTTCTTTTGCTCTATCTATAATAGCAGATTGACTTTTTTTTAGCGATAAAAAAAAATAATAATGATAAATTAATTAATAAATTAAATTTTTCTTTTCAAAATTACATTTGAAAAAAATCAAAAGACTTACGTTTTAGTAAGATTATCTCTTGAATTTTTTGGTTTCGGTGATTCAACGAACTGTTGCTTTTCTTGTTGATCTATTGGAAATGTAGCAGCTGAAGCGAACTCTGCCAAAAGTTCTACACAATCATTAAAGTTATCAAGATTGATACCTTTTTTTTCTTTTATTAATAATGTAATAACATCAAATGAATATTTAGATGCTTGTGGGTGTGTTGAAGTTGCTCTAAGTAATTTGAAAACTGGTTCTCGTGGTCTTTTCCCTTTGATATATGAAGGATCTGATTTGATAATATTCAATATTCCTGCCATCATTTGTTCGCCAACAGAATTTATTACATCATCTGGCAATGTAGCCAATAGTTCTAATGCCAACAAAATATCAGATATCATTTCATCCTTGTGTGTCAGATGAATACACAATCTAAGTAATGCAACAACTGTTCTCTCAACTAATAGAATACTATTGTTTTGAGATTCTTTTAAAATATCAGTTATATGTCCAAAAAGAATCGGCCTAAATAATCAATCGTTTGGCAAAAAACTTTTATTTTATTATCTATTTAAAAAAAATATATATATATTAATAAATTACATACCATAAATATTGAATTCGATCTCTATTTTGTAATGTAACGTTTATCATTAGTTCAAGAAAGAATACAGCAGCAGGATCATATGAACTACTTTTTGGTGACTGTTGTTGATCAGTAGAAGTTGGGTGTGTGGTATGAGGTATTGGCGGATATGATAATTTAGTAACATCATTGATCTTTGTTGTTGTATTTCCATCTGCAATAAATTTGAGTGCTTTCATAAGATTTTTAAGCGATTCTTGACCTAAAGTTCTATGTAAATCAAAAATAATATGTATCATTATAATATATGTATACAGTATATTCTATAAATAAATATTATTACATCATAATAATTAATTATTTTATTACACACAAACCTTATGTCAGCAAATATATCATCTAAATGACATGCTTTAACACAATCAACTGTACACATGGTGCATTCTATTTCTTCTTTGGTAGGTGCACTTCTTGAAGATTCATAATTACCCGAATATGGCGATAACAAATATGAGGATAATGCCGATAATAAAAAGTTGTCACGCCTTTCTTGTTTTGAAAATGTAGTAGTTTTTGGTTTAAGTGGAATTGTTGTTGTACCAGCTAAAAAATCTTCCACTTGTATCATTGAACTTGGTAATAATGAATTTACAAAAAGATTTTTTATAATTTCTAAAATCTAAATATTGATATAAAATGTAATAATTGCATAAAATTTATTTAATTTAATTGAAAATAATATGAAATTATAAACCTACGTATTTCCATCCATCTCTCAATACATTTCCATGTTCATTAGCAACAGCAAATAAAACCACAGCAGCTAGTTGTCCCTTATAATTTCTTCCAAATTGAATTGTCAAATCACTTACTGTGATATCAATATCTTGAACTTTAATAATCGGATTATTGGCAGTCTCATTTGAATATCTAGAGCCAAGAAGTTCTGTCATCTTTGCCAACGACATAATTATATAATCAAACACTTCATATAATTTATATTGGGCTGATAATAATGCACATCGATGAAATCCATTAATAGCTTTTTGTAAAGTTGCATCGTCTGGTGCTGTACTAAATGCTAATAATAGTAATAATAATAATAATAAATGAAATATTATGTAAATCATTTCTTTGTATAAATAAAATTTGATATAATTATGAAGTTAGCTTTTTTTTTAATTCTTTACCAAAGGAAATAGCTGCTACTGTTGGCTTCCATACTGTTGTAAACATATCTTTATCGTACAAAGGAACGTTGCATATTACAAATGGCCCTATAAAAAGTTAAACATAATTAAATTATTATCACTTCATTAGTTTCAATTGAATTTTATAAATTTTATTTACCTGCACTTTCGGCTCTATGTAACAGTTCTTTCCATGCATAATTAAATCCCAGTTGACCTTCATGTTCTTCAGGCATTATTATTTCTTTTTTGCGAATAGCATCATAAATTGCTTGCTATTTTAAAAAACGATTTATAAATATTAATAGAGATTTTAATCAAAAAAAAAAATCAAAAAAAAAAATTTTTTTACTAGATATTCTGTGGCAAAATTTTGTCCATTGTTAACATTTCTTAAATTTTTCATATAATCCTCAATCCCCATACGTCGCTAATCAAATGAATGGAATAAATTTTACTTGTCAATTTAAATTTAGAAATTGTTTTTTAAAAAAAAAAAAATATAACATACTCGAACTTGTGGATTATGTAAATCAGTGTTCAACAATATAACTGAATAAGCTAAAACAAATGTAGCATCTTGTGTTGCAATTTCAGCTTTTTGTTTTAAAAAAAACTCTTTATAATTAGTTTGAATAAAGTATATCCAAAAATCATGATTATCATAATATAATTATACCTGGTTTAGTAGCAAAATAAGTTATAGCAAAAGTTTCCATAATTCTTTCAATTTGTTGTGCCTCACCTGGCAATCTAAACGATTCAAGCATTTCTCTCATTGCTTCATCTATTCTTCTCTATTTAAAATTATAATTTTAGTAAAATTACAATTACAAAATCACCATAATCATAATAATCATTATTATAATAAACATACTCCTTGAAAATTAAAAAGTTTTACAAAAGCTTTCAATATCTCAATATTTGAGGGTTTTGATAAAAAGTCACCAAGAACAGTTTTGTTTAGACGTGGTGTCGATTTTAAAAATATCGCAGTAGTATTATTTTCATCGATTGTATTGTCATTATAAATAATTCCATTTGCTAAAATAAAAAAAATTAAAATCAATTTGATTAAATATTTAATTTAAAAATAACACAATAATCAATACGTATTTAAGAATAAATAAATAAATGATACCTTTAAGAAATTCTAACCCTGTTTTAGGACTCTCGTTAAATTTTGCTGCACCTTCACATAATATTTGTTTTAGTTGTTTGCGCTTTAATAATTCTGCAGCAGAAGGATAATTCTAAAAAAAAAACTTTTAATTTTTATGAGGTAGAGTAAAAATTATAAAAATTTTGATTTCCAAAAAAATAACCTTTGGTTTCATTCCTGAATTATAATCAGCTGCTGTCATTTGATCCCAAGACAATTCATAACTAGAGCTAGAGCTAACAGTTTTCTATAAAGCAATTATAAAATAATTAAAATAAAATAAAATTTTCCACCCAAAAATTTCTGAAAACTAAATTAATTACCTGCAATCGATCTATTATGTGATTTATAAACATTAAAAGTGTATCAAAACATATTATATGTGAATTGCTCGCAGAATATCCAGTAGAATCAGGAAAGGAATTCTTTAACATATGAAAAGAAAGTTAACAAAATCTATTTCACGTATGAATAATTAATTATTATCAATTTATCAATTTATTTTATTTATTACCTTACTTAAGAATTTAATGACTTCCTCAAATAAATCATCACAATCAACATTACAATCATAATTAACCCACAAATCAACCATGAAAGATGGCTCTCTAGCGAATTGACCCAGTGTTTCTAACAATAATTCACGAATTTCGCCAGTAGCGTATGAAATATTACTCATTCTGAAATTACGTTGATCACGATTTGGTGATGTTGGAGCGCTGGGATCAAGTTGCAGAACATTATCGAAATTAGGATTAGAAAATACTTCGTTGAATGCATGAGATATTGGACTGTTTGATGGTGGTGTCAATCTTTCAATCAAAAATAATAAATAAAGTTCTTGTTGTAGTTTAAGATATGGACGAAGTGTACCAAAAACTGTTGAGATAACACGAAGCGTCAATGATAACAATGTAATGTTATCTGTACGTGCCAACTTAATCCAATAAATAAAATATTTTAGACATTTTAACAACTAAATATGTTATTGGAGGATAATAAAATAAATTTACTTGAAAAAGATATTTGCACAGTTCATCAACAGCGAGGTTACGTAAAACTTCAAACCGGCCTATTGTTTGACCACCAACTTCAAAGGCTACGTTCAGAATACTAAGGGCCATGAGTCGCATAGTGTCAGTGTGTTGATGATCATGAGGATTGAGTAAGGATATGAGAACACGAAGTAATTCACGTATGGAGGGTACTCCAAATGGTTTCGGATCTAAGGGAAAGACAAAAATAATCATTAGAATAAATTATTAATTATTATTATTATAAAAGCATGTTTAAAAAAATACCCATTTCTTTTTCTTCTTCATTTGGAACTTCGCTAGAAGGTTCAGTAACTTTGTTGTAGATTAGTCATGTTTTGTATTTATTTTATTTATCGTTTAGTTTTATGTTGTATTTTGTAATTTCAACAAATTACATATGACATCTAATTGATAGTACGAAATATAAACCTAGCTAAATCACAACATTAAGACCTTCCAGTTGAAATAGAAATAAATACCGGTTGATAATGATTTTCCCTCTTGATTAGTCAATATTTCGTAATTTGATTCCATCCCATCTTCTTCTTCCATCACCTCTTCTCCTTTTCTATTTAATTTCACCAAGTCATCATTATTAGAGATTGAGACAGTATTTGTGCTGTTGTTGTCGCTAGTATTTTCCATTGATAAAGGAAGATGAGGAGATTTTGGATCTGGCGGTGCCATACGAACTTGTAAATCTTGAGAAGAACTATCTTCAAGGTCGCCATATTCGCAAGACAATGATGATGATGGTTTCTCCTCCAAAGATTTAAGTCTAAAATGGTTTTTCTGTGAACATTAAATTTATTATCAATATTATGGTATTTTAAATAAATAAATACCTTTCAAACATATTTTGAACCATTACAGTCATTGTATGCTCTGCTGATCTACGTAACATTTCTAAATAAAATAATAATAATATAAAATTTAAAGTGACTAAATTTAAATTTGAGTTGTTTAAATTTACACGCACCACTAAGTCTCATTTGACAACACATGCTTAAACCAGTCTCCATCATAGCACAAAGAGCTTCATCACTAAGAACTCGGCCAATTTCACAGGTTAAAGCTAATCGCAAGACTTGTAAAATTTTCAAAAGAACAAACTCGTCTGATACAGAATCGCTTCCTTCGAATTTACAATGAGTTGCAGCAGATGATAACATTGACATTGCTTGAGATAGACTTGGTGAATTCATATTTAAAACTCTATATGTCAAAAATTTCTCTACACTTCCAAGTGCTGTTGCAGTTATAGGCCCATTTGTATCTCCAGATTTGATAACTTCCAAAAAAGGTTCTAGTAATGTCACTGCATCTATCTCGTTTAATTCTTTTTTTTAATCAATAAATAAAATAGGATTATATATCAATTAACCATAGTTATATTGAAGAGAAGGAAAAATAGAATAATATAAACCTGAAACAGTTGATAAATGAGATCTAAGATTTGAAAAACCAACCAACAATGGACTTTCCTAAAATAAAATAAATAATCAATAAGTTAAATTTGAGAAAAAAACAGCATTATAAAATCTCTTAATAACTTCTGGCAAATGAATATATCTCGACAAAATATCTTTATCTTACTTGATTTCTATAACCTGTCTCGGCGACAGAAATTCTTCTTAGACCCATGTTTATACCTAATCCACCCATATTTAAACTATTAACATTCATGCCAGACCAACGAGAATTTTTTCTCATTGCACTTGTAACAGAGATAATTTCAGCATGTACTAAATTTGACCATTGTAATTCGCAAGTTGCTTGTATTTTATCTACTATGTGATCGCTACTAATATTATTACTAAATTCATTAGAGTCATGTCGTTGAACATTTTTAGAACAGTCCACTTGATTATTTGAAAAAGGTTCAGTAAAAGAGGAAGATTTTAATTGCGACATTTTTTCTTTTTTTCAGTTGAAAACAAATCGATAATAAATAGAACGTTGTTGAATAAATTTTGCATTTCATGTGACTTCTAACCAAATTTAGAAAGATTTCTTTCCAATTTCCTTAAATCTCTTCGAAAAAAAAAACAAGTATGAGGGATTGTGAAGAATTTGGTCCAGTTGATGACCGTAGAATAATCTGTGATTGTGGACATCGTGCAAATAAACATTCAATTAGACAAGAGCAAGGTGTATTCTTTTTGTGTTTAACTAGAATAGAAAATCACTACATTCTTGAGAACAATCTGTAAAAATTACTTTCCTGTTCGTCTATGGCTGTAATCTCTCGTTATTTATTATTCATTTGTTGAGAGATGAAGTTATCCTTTTCTTGCTTGATGATCTATTGGATCTATTTTGTTTTAATTAGAAAAAAAAATTACACACATTTATTTATTTATACCTTGTGTTTTTCTAATTAGATTCTGAACCTGGTATCAAGCGCCAAGTAGAAGCATTGGGGAGTGGTGTTGAACGATTAGCTAATGAGGTAAAAAAAATTCGATTTGTCACTGATAAATGGGTACAGCTGTCCTGGTAAGCTAATTATTCTTCGGAATAAAAAGATATATATATAAAATATAAGTGGGTGGTCATCTACATTATTTATTTATTTATTTATTTATTTATTATTTATGTCTATAGAATGATATTTCTCATATTAATGTATTTAATATCAATTTTCTATAGCTACTGAAACTACAACTGAACGTGGTCAGAAAATCAAGTTACCAAAAAATGAGATGGGCTTTCCATTTAAGATGTCAGCCCGCACAATGAGGGGGATTGTTGGAAAATTTAGAAATCCTCCTGATGGTCCGGATGAACAAATCCAACGATTTTTTATTGACGAATGTAATCACATACCAAACACCAAACTTATAATTGGGGATGTTCATTTGACACCTTTATTGGGCACACGTAAACCTGACTTTGTATTTCTTAGAAAGGATGCAGTTACTGATGCACTTAATGTTGTTGCACTGGGTGAAATTAGAAAAAGACATGGTGACCATCTTCGGTTAGCTGATTACGGTCATGCTGCTTCATTTGCAGAAAAACTTCAACTACAACCTCGAAGAAGTTTTGCTTTTGTATTTCTAACAGATTGTAAAATGATTGTACTGATTAAAGTAACAAAGTGTGCAAACAACAAGTTCCTTTATAATTTTACCGTACCAGAATATCTTGCATACGATGAAAAAATTCCTTCGAAAGGATGGAAACAATTGATCACATTTTTAGAAAGTGAGCCTGATAAATTAGGCTGGATGGAACCTATTATATATGTAAATGATAAGGCAATAATTCTTGAACGTTCACTTGCTACTGGCAGAACAAGTGTAGTATATCATGGAAAATTAGAAAGTGATGATGTTGCAGTAAAGATAGCAAAGAATGATACTTATAAAGAGTGTTTTGCTCGTGAAATAGATACTTTATCTAGTTTAAACTTATGTCATATACCACAATTACGTGAAAGTAACTCTAATATATTGGTTATTTATCCACTTTGTTCTGAGATTTTAAATCTTAAAAAAGAGGATATACAATCAATTATTTCCACACTTAAAGAAGTACATTTGCGTGGTTTTATCCATAGGGACATTCGTAAATACAATCTTTTACGTGATCAAAATGATAGAATTATTATTAATGATTGGGGATATAGTGTAAAAAATGGCGATAAAGCAGAATTTAGTGGGGCACTTGAATGTATGCCAGATGATGTATTGACCTCGCTAGTAAATGGAGAAGAAATAACTTATAATCCTCGAATTGATCTGGTTTCATTTATTCGATCTTTTTACTTGATGCTTCACCAACCTCAACTAGATAGGCTCAGTTTTAATAAAGATCCTAATATTGAACAGTATGCTTCAGAAGTCCATCATTTCTGGACATTCCATGCAAAATCGGAAATTTGGATTAAAATTCATCAACTTGCTGATCGTTCAGATTATGATGGTTTAATTAAAATGTTAGAACAATTATTTTAATCATTTGAATAATGACATTCTTGTAATAAATTATTAACATCATATGAATTCAAAAAAATTACCATCATTTTTTATCAGGTGTAAAAATATTATGACATCTTAAAAATGATTTATACAATTGAAGTATTCGGAAAATTTTTCTGCAAATTCCATTTGGGTTTTGAAGGAATTACTTTTTAAATGAAAATGTTTTCTGAATAAATATTTAATTGTTGTAAAAATATATGTTATCTTTATTATCTTTGAAAAATGTTTGTTATATAGTAGGAGAAGTTACAACAAGTTGTATTATCATAACAAATGTTTGAAATGATTATATCCAAAAATAATTACGAGTATCCAAAATAAATTATATATATTCGTAAAAAATTTGATTTTCGGTTAGGAACACTGTACAATGTATAAAAATTACACCAGTTGCATCATTAGCAAAAATTTTATCCAACTACAATTGATGAATTCAAATACTTTAAAAAATTCTTTGCTTATGTTAAAATTTAATTAAACAAATTGCATAAAAGGCATTTTTTAATTTTTAAAAATAATTTGGACTAAATCAATACCAATAAAGATAACTTAAATTCAAATTTCTGTGTTTATGACCATTAACTTTTTACCAGAATCTTCAACAATTTTTCGTTAGAGAATCCTTTGATGTTTCCTTCATCCTTTCAATTTCCCAATAATTTTCTCATTAGATTCATTGATATTGTCATTTATTTTTAACTATGATATCTTTTATATCAGTCATCAGATTCGATGAACACTGAGATCTAAGTGATTATAAACGTTCGCATTCTAGTTAACATTTAACAAAAGTATCATGATTGTTAAGCTAAATTTGTCAAATTTTTTATTAAACTTGGAGATTCTAAATTTAACAGAAGGTTTATTAAAAGTTTAACTTTGGTTAAATTTGATTTTTACCTGTCGAAATAATCATGAATATTCGAAATTCTACCCATTACCAAAAGTCCTTTGATGATTTCGAATATTCATAATTCTTTTGGATATTTGGATATTCAAAAATGGATATTAATGAACAGAAACACCACAATAAACATTGTAAAACATAGAGATTCGAAGTTTTATTTCCTCAATTAGAATAATTTACATAGATCTTTATTCATCATTTAATGATAAATGCGGTTTAAATTTTTGGAACTCGCACCCAGAAAAACAGCATTATTGAGGCATTATTATTAGTTGAATCAATTGATAAATATATTAAAATGAAGATTTTTTAGTTGGATATGAATTTTATATTTAGAATGTATATGCAAAATTTATTAAAGATAAGTTTTTTTTTTATATAAACAAGTAAACAAGAATAAATGTTTCGCGTAGACAAATAATTAAAGACACTTAATAAATAAGGTTAGAAAGCTAGAGATTAGAATCGTCCAAAAAATCCTTAGTCGACTACTAGTTGGTCAAAATTTTCTTTAGTCAACTAAATTTTTTTTTTATAATAATAATTCTTTTTTTTTTTTTAATTTGCAAATTACAAATTCATTTCCATTTGAATCTTTCACTTTTTCAAAATGCTTCCACATAAAACTATGTGTTATGATTCGTTTTTTTAAAGGTCTTCTGGAACCACCGCTTAAATCATTGGCCAATGAACTATTGGACCTTGTACTGGAAGTTTTTATTCATTCTCATGTAAAATTATCATCAACAACACACTACTATTATCGTCATCATCATATTGATGGTATTGATCCTCTTCCGCATAAAAATTTTCCATTTTGAATGATAAAACACAAAAATCGTAATTGGTCAGACAACAAGATATGGTAATAAATATTATCTTCAATGGATTCTTTATAATGATTTAACAAATATTGAAAAGATAGGTGAAGGTAGCTTTGCAACTATATATGAAGCTAATTGGTTAAATGGTTATAAAAGTATAAATTATAAAAAAAAAACTATTAAAGATAAGCCAGAGGCATTAAAAAAATTACATAATCCACAAGATATTTCTGATGAACTTCTTAATGAGGTGAATTATTTTATTAATATTTGTTTCAGATTTTTTAAATATTATTGTTGTAATTAAATATCTTATTGTTCAAAAATTATATGAAGCTTAAAAATGATACAATTCATATTTATGGATTAACACAAGATCCAATTACAAAAGAATATATATTTGTAATTGATTATAAAAATGATGAAGATCCATATAATAGAGATAAAAAATATGGGGCATGTCCAACTTGCTATAAATATAATACTAATGATTTATGGTGTCAATCATGTGACCCAAAGCCATTAACTGAAGGATGGACTAGTGGCAATGAAACATTAGATGAGTTGATTAAAAGCACACAACTTAAAGCAATTGAGTATGATAATAAATATTACCTTTTATGGATTTCTTATGATGATTTAACAAATATTGAAAAGATAGGTGAAGGTGGCTTTTCAACTATATACAAAGCTTCTTGGTTAAATGGTAAGAAGTATCCAGGTGATAAAAAAAGATGTAGTAAAAATAGGACTGTGGCATTAAAAAAATTACATAACATTTCTGATGAATTTCTTAATGAGGTAAATTATTTTATTAATATTAGTTTAAGATTTTTAAATACTACACAGTGAGTCTCAATTTAACGGATATTTTTTTCCAGAAAATTTATCCGTTAAATCGAGAGATCCACTAAATCAAAACTTATGATCAAATCATGTGATACAAATTAAATGTGTATATACAAAAAAAATTTTTTTTTATTTTGTATATACATAAAAACAAAATATACATAATAATAATAATATTATTATTGTCAACTCATAAATTCATCAATGCAACATTGTTTTGCTTCTTGGGTGCTTCTATAAGAAATTTTCTCTTTTTAACTTCAATATATTTATATATTTTTAATTATTTGAGGATCAACTTCTAAATATTTTTGTTGTATATATTTAAGCGCATTTTCAACCATTTATAGCTTCTGTATTTGTTACAATTGGCTCGCTTATCTTATCAACACCCTCATTATCTTTAACTTCAGATTGCCCCAACACTATGTTTACAATTTCTTGTTCTGTCATTTCATAATAAATTCGTCAGCATTTAAATAAATAAAAAAAAAAGACATTATATACAAGTGTCATTGCCAAGAAATAGTTAACAATATGTTCGATTAAAAATGTTGTTAATATTTAATATTAATAATACATCATTACGCTTATTTTATTATACGCTTATTACTTATAAAATTAGGCTATCCAAAAAGGCAAGAATCATCATTATCCTTATAATAATACGTTTTCCGCACGAATTTCACATTAGCACATCACGTAATTCATACGGGAAACATACAAGAAAAACGAATTCCGTATGTTTTCCGTAAAAACCGTGTGTATTCCGTGTGTGTTTCGTACGCATTCCGCACCTACTTCGCACCTACTCCATATCTATCCTGCACAAATTCTGTACATTTCGGCACATTTAACAGGAAGATTCCGTACATTTTTTCCGTACCTATTCTGTAAAACAATACGGTTCATGTACTGTTTTACCGTATGTTATTTTTTATAGGGCAATGGTGATGGTGGCAGGATTAATTCTATCAAGACCATTGATATTTCTAAGAATAAAAGTTCAATATGGACACATTTTGATAAACAAATGGATGAAAAAGGCATAAAATGGGCTAAAT